GTTCAGCGACCTGGAGGGGGCGGGGTGTGAAATATCTCGCTTGTATTTAAAGAGACCGCACCAAAACAGCTTGCTCTGAGGCGCAGCTCAGAACAGGGGTAAAAGCAAGGAAAGCAAGGAGTCTGTGGAGCAACAAAAACGAGGAATTAAGACCAAAGTGTTGCAGTTTTATTTTAAATAGACCATAAGTGAATGATTTAGACGTGAAAAAGAAGGATTTAAAAGCATGATATGATACCTTTAAAGTTTTTAGAAATGCCAAAAAAATAAAAATAAAAAAATATGACTTCATACCAGGTGCTGTTAGTACATCATCTAATGCGATGTAAAGTGATTATCAAGCAACACATAATCAGTCAAATTTAAAAGGTTTATTATGGTTTGGTTTGTGTTGTTCTCTGCACGGGGTTATTTTAAGTTCACAGACACAAAGAAAACATGTTTTGTAAGCTGCTCATTTATGTACTGTAAAAGTTTCACAAAATTCAAAAAGCGCTCCAGGCAAAGATCATACAATATGCATGCAAGCATTTAAAATTTTCACTGACAAAAATGGAGGAAAAAAAGAAAAGAAAAGTCAATTAAACAGAAACACATTTTAAACGTCCAAAAATTTCTCCTGCAGAAAATAGAATGAGTAAAAAGACTTTTTTTTGACTCGCAATYTCTTAAATGAAACAAACACACACATCCCTTCCAGCTGTGCACACACAGCTAACTCGTGATGGCGTGGATTCTCTCCGAGCGCCTTGGTTTCTTATGGCCCACTGAGCCGGGCGAGCGTGGCCACATCTAAGCGACACACTCCTGATTGCAGCTGGCAGCCAGAGGCCAGAAGCAGACAGTTCAGTGAACAGCTGCGGCATCATGGGAAAGGTGTGGGTGAAGAGCTTTGACCGTGCTTATAGAATGAGTTAACCCTGACTGGGCATGAGCACTGTGGACGCTGCAGAGGTGTTACAGAGTGTGGGTGGGCTCATATGCTGCCTGGCTCTCCAGCCTGACAAAACAAAGTAGTGGGAGCGGAGATGAAGATACCGAGAACTGAAGGCCAAGATTTCCACAAGCACCCTGCCGTTTCTTTGATATGTTTAATAAAAAATAAATGCTTTTTGTCTTTTTCTTTTTTTGTGTGTGTGTCAGAGGATAATTTCTACCCTCAGGACAGTACAGACATTTAGATCATCCTACAAGACCATTTTACGCAGGAATTAAGCCAGTAAATTTAGTGGGAAAGAACTGTTCATTGTTATTTTCCTGTAAAATGTTTCCTGAAAGCTTTAGGCAGTAATGGAAGCAGAATTTGAAAAAAAAAAAGTGCTGGTAGTCTCTCCTCACAGGCATCAGTGAGTGTATTCTGCTGCAAGCTTTTAGGCACATTTATTCCCACAGACTGTAAGGGCCTGAGCTACTAAAGGTTAGTGCATATAAAAACACACGCAAACTTGGTAATGCTCAAAGCTCTCCACAAACAATATTATCAGTGCTGGGCATAGTATATATGTTTATCGTGATTAATCACATGTTACTTTTTGCAGTTAATCCAAGCCTGTGGAGCAGGGGGAATGCAGCTGCAATGCAGCAGCACTTCCATGTATCCAGTAGAGCTTTCATGCAACGTTATTTTTGCTACGAATTCAACAACGTTTTCCTCCCGTCTAACCCGAAGCAGTCTGGTTTCTGTCAGCTGCACTCCGGCTGCTCGCTCCTCCACAAACACAGTGGTTTGATTGAGAACCGTCAATAAATTATAGAGCTGGGCGATATGATCAAAATTTTATATCACGGTATTTTCAACATTTTCACCGGTTTCACGGTATTTGACGG